CGGGAAGGAAGGCGGGATCTGTGCGGGAAGCGGGAAGGGAAAACAGGACAGCTGAGGGGAGTCGGGCGGGACTTCTGAGACCCGGTCCAGTTCTGCCCGAGGATTTTACTCCCCCCAACAATTGTGATAGCACCGACCAAGAACCGCCACACCACTTACTATTTGGTTGTATAAACTCAGTTTATTTCAGCTCGTAACAGAAGACAAAGCCCTCAAAAAAGAATTCAGTTTACAACATGAACGTGCTCGTGCTGGTGTGTCTCCTATAGGACTTTGTCACCCGTGGGGAAGGGTRGGAATGGAGATAAACAGCTTACACTTCCCCCAACTCATTTTTTCTAATTAGCTACAACTATAAGGGTATTTTGTTAAGGACAGGCTGCTTATCTCTCCAAGGAAAAATCAGCAGAATCTCTGTTGCTTTTCTACAATTCTGAGGAACATAAAAGCTCACAGTTCCCTCTGTTCTCTATCCCCAAATCCTGAAGAGCTTACAAACAGATTAACATACAAACAAGTTAAAGAAGGACCATGTTGAAGCAGGGATGAAATCGAAGGAAGGAGTAAGTGATTGTGTCTGGCAGAATTAAGGAGAACAGAAAATGCAAAAGCAGCACTACAGCAGGTTACAAGCCGCTGTGTACAAGAAGGCATCTTTTTAARTGGAGAAATGTGGTCAGGGCTTCTGTGGGGCAGAAACTTGGCACTTACTCCCCCCAAGCAAACCATAGAAAAAGCAGGAGAAAATGTTCAAAAACTCTGCTTCGTAAGGATTTTTTTTTTTAATGTCAATAATTAAGGAAATAATTAAAACCAAACCAGAGAGAGAGTTCTGAGCCCAAAAGCTCAAAACCTGGTCTTTTTCATGCTTGCTAGCATGCTTGCTCCAAACAAACACATAAATGCCTGTTTTAAACACCTGGTTGTCTTGCACTAACAACCTCTGCAGTAAACAAAATTAAAACACATGATTGTAGGAAAGAGGGGAGAAAAACCCCAAACTGCACAATCAGATATAGAAAAAATATACTACAGATCCCCATGTCTATGAAGAGTATTTAAACCTGGCATTCAAAAATTTCTTTTGCTGATTAAACCATACCATGGAAATGGTCTGAGGTTTGTGCAGACAACTGAAACCGTCCGGCAATCTCCCCCAGTTAATTGATTAAAAAGTAACATTTGTGCTGCATGTTTTCAGGGCAGAGGAAAGAATGGCAAAAGAAAGTTTCTTTTTGGAGCCTGATACAMCTCCCGGTGCTATCTGAAGTCACAAATCCAAACTTAGCATAACCTTTGAGAAAGCTGTGGTATGGTCACACGTCAATTTCATCCTCAGGAAGCAAGACTGTTCTTTTCAGTTTATTAAGCAAACACTCCTGAATAAAGAGGCTGATATCCACTTTCTTCTTTCTTGCAAGTAAGCACACAGACGCTCAGCATGCCGAAGAACTGGGAAACAGGGAATGCACAAGTCTTAGTCCTGCTGTATTTCTCTTTCAGTTGTCAGACTAAACACCTACATATCAGATGACTTCATYGTATCAAAAAATCTCACTTTAAAAATAAATCTACAAGAGATGTTATTTTTACATACCGATTTCCAGTAATAGTTTCAGCTCAAGTGTTTCCTCTCTGGTTTGYCCCATTAAGTAATAAATTCACATTAACTACTAGTTATGTTACCATGGGGGAAAATTCAGTGAAAGTCTGGAATTATTCTGGAATAAAACGAGTTTTCCAAAATATTTAAGCATGCCTTTGGACAAGGAGTGACAGGAATTGCTTCCAGCTACCAAAGGGCAGGATTAGATGGGACACTGAGAAGGAATTGCTGGCTGGGAGGGTGGGGAGGCCCTGGCACAGGGTGCCCAGAGCAGCTGTGGCTGCCCCTGGATCCCTGGGCCAGGATGAACACTGGGGCTTGGAGCACCCTGGGACAGTGGAAGGTGTCTCTGCCCATGGCAGGGCATGGGACTGGATAGGATTTAAGGTCCCTTCCCACCCAAACCATTCCTGCGATTCTGTGACTGTAAGATAAAATAGATTCCCCACTGAATTTTCAAACCAAATCCCCTACTATCTTTTGAATCTCTCTCATTGTTGTTACACAGATGAAGTGTAGCTGGAAAAACACAAGTGAGGAACATAGACATGAATCTAATTCAGAGGCAGAAGAAAGCTAATATGACATTGAAGAGGAAAAAGCCCTGAGATCCAAGGGCAAGCACTAATATTCTCCRTGAGGGAAGGAACAGAAACATGTACCTTTACAATGGCAAATCCCAGGATTACAAGCATGGCATAGCTGAAAACGCTCTGCAGCCTAATGTCCAGTTCCTGTGCACAACCCTGGTATGAAAAACAGAAGTAAAAAACATGTTAAAAGGTGTTCATCCACCTGGAAGTTTTTATTTTCCCCCCAGCTCTCGCCAGGAAGCAGGGCCTGGTAAGGTCTGTCTAACCAGCACTGCAGACTTGAGGAACTCCATTCTTGTCTTCCAGACCTGATGGCTTATTTCATCCTGCATGACAAACTCCAATTCACTGATGTTTGCTGCATCAGAATTTCCTCTAGCTCAGGTCACTTAACCAAGTGCCRAAAAACTCAAGAGCCAGAAGGCCATCAATGGTATCCATAAAAGTCAATTTACAGGCTCATGACCCAGACTGGAGAACCTGGTATGGAGTTAATAGAATCACAKAATGATGTGGGTTGGACGGGACTTGAAAGATCATTCAGTCCAACCCCCTGCCATGGGCAGGGACACCTTCCCTCCATCCCAGGTTGCTCCAAACCCTGTCCTACCTGGCTTTGAACACGTCCAGGAATGGGATAGCCATAGGTGCTCTGGGCAACCTGTGCCATGGCCTCATGACCTTCAAGTCTGATCTACACTTTTTTAACTTAGTGTTKAAAAGTTGAACTTTTTTAAACTGATCCTTTTTTTTTTAACTTAAAACCATTGCCMCTTGTCCTGTCACAAAATGTTTRGCCTCATCTTCCTTACAGGCATCCTTTAGGCCCCAAAAGGGGCTCTGAGCTCTCCCTGGAGCCTTCTCTTGTCCAGGTGAGCACCCCCAGCTCTCCCAGCCTGGCTCCAGAGCAGAGGGGCTCCAGCCCTGGCAGTGTCTTCATCCTCCAGATTCAGCGTGATCAATCCTAGATGAGTCTGTTCCCCTGCCCCAGATCTGTTTGAACAGTTACAGCTATGGATATATCCTTAAACTTTGTGTGGTGTGCTTCTCTCTATGCTTCCGCCTGGCTAGAAAATGAACATGGCCCAACTGTGGAACCGAGCCACTCATCCTCACCCGGGTGTAGAGTTTCTGTGGTTGATCCAAACGCCCTGTGCAGTTCGTCTCTGGCTGACAGCAGCTCTGGGGGACAGTGTYGTTTCCCGTGGAATTAAACCACTGGGTGGTCGTCCAGTCACTGTAGTTCTTTACTCCGCAGCAGCTAAGCTGCCAAACACAGGACAGTTACATAGCAGTTAGTGTTACATAGTACTATAAACTTATTGCTTGTTATTACATTATATATATTATGTATCTTCATATATAAAAATGCCCACGTTGAGTTAAACCTCTCTTAGGCATAGTGGGCCAGGGCTGCCATTAGTTTGCAGCAGATTTACAAGCAGCAGTGCTTCAGGAAAATAATCATAGATGTAATAAATCAACCTCCTTCACACATTATTATATCCTTCTTAGTTTATTCTTTGTAAAAGCTCCAATATGAAGGTGACAAGTTGCAGGGCACAGTCTTCCATCATCTTGCTATTTCAGGGTGCAGTGTTCTCAGCAGCAGTTATTCATACGTATTTATTTGGTCTGAACCAAATGTCACTCAAATCCCTCACTACATGAAACATAACCAAATCCCTCACTACACGAACTTCACACCTGGAGACTGAACACGCCAACTCTGCAAAGTGGGGAGCACCCTTAGCTGCCTTGGAGAATTGGATGCTAAACACAGAGACAAGTTCCTGGRTACTAGCCTATTCACCCCCTCCCTTCCTTTCCCAGCTTAAATTCCTTCTTTAGGACCCAACTGTTACAAATGATGCATTARTATTTTCTTACTTGTTCTTGCCAGTAATCCACAACTGTAGACTCTGGGTTTTTTCCATCATATTTCTCAAAAACTGAGCGCATGGTATCTTGCACATCAGTTTTTACCTGTTTAGAGACATAAAACCAATGCAGATAGTTTTAACATTGAGCTAATAAAGATCTGGAAGCTGCAAAAGATCTACATCCCAAATAAGTCCAGGGTGGGGTGGGAATAAAAAAAAAATCAAGCAATGTTTTAGACAAAATTCAGGTCTCACTTAACCAGAATCACATTCTTGGTCAGAAGCTTGTCTCCCCTGATGGAAAAGTCCTCCTTTGGTTGCATAAACAACTGTTTAATCCAACTCAAAAGACTGCCTGCTGGGTATTTAATGTGTACACCGTGTTCCCAATAAAGCCTTCCCGATCCCCACTTGCTCTGCAGGTTGCAGGACAGGGGATGAAGCACAAAAAAACAGTTGATACACTGGAATGATCAAACAATGCAAGATCTATTCTTTACTTTTAGGATGGGACAGACATGCTAATTTTTTGCTTACCTTTTCCCTGTAAACAAATCCCAGGACAAAAGCAGACACTTCTGCAATAAAGATAACCAGGATAATGACCAAGAACTGAAAATAAAAGAGAGATACAGTTAGGAAGCATCCCACACCATTTGAATTCAATTGAACAATATGCTTCACATTAACCTATAGCAGTAATTGATGGTTATCTCTTGCTGCCTCTCCAATCAAAATAGCTCCCAGAAAATAATTTAGAATAGAAGAAGATGTGGCTGCCTCTCCCCTGGAATTGTTCAAGGCTAGGGTTTGGAGCAACCTGGTTTAGTGGAAGGTGTCTCTGCCTGTGGCAGAGGGTTGGAACTGCATCAGCTTCAAGGTCCCTTCCAATCCAAACCTTTCTGGGATTTCTGTGCACCGCAGGGATGATGACTGTGGCCCCACAAGCTCTGTGCCTGATCCTGTCCACTGCCATGACATGACCAGTGGGAAGAGCCTATGAAACTCCTCACAAGGTAGATGCCAAAGGGGAGATAGCACAGATAAGCTAGCAGCTGACGTAGGTACATTGTGCACTGCTTGTTGAGCTCACATTGCCTTCAGGCCATCAGCTGGCACATGAAAGTTACTCTAAGTGAACCTTTCTGGATTTTTAAAAATAATTCTATGGGAAGTCAAGACATGCTTTCAGCACTCAGAGGACTAAAATCAACAGAAAAACAGATATATATGTCCGGTTTGCTTGCTTAGCAACTTGTATTTCCTCCTGTTCCTTCATCATCTCAATCTTCAAAACTTGCTGCTTCCCAAACTCATCTTCATCGAGCCAGGCAAGGCAGAGCATGAGACTGTCCATGGCAGGGGGTGTTTGTCTGTTCAAGGCAGTGCCATGGATAATCCAGCCTGCATCTCACTCACCATGAAGCAGGGCATCACAGAGGTATGTGACTCAAACAAACCAGCAGTGCTTCAGCAGGGCATATCACAATAACCTTTCACTTTCTGTTTCATGCCTCCCTGAGGTACAGCCTAACACCTCCCTTGCCACGGTGAGGCAGACAACACACACGGACAGACATGCCACACTCACCAGCCCCAGGCCGACACGAGACTCGCGGAAGGTGGCACAGCAGCCAATCAGCCCAATGATGAACATCACCACGGCCACGCAAATAATGATCACTGCTGGCAGCAGGGCGTATTTGTCCTGCAGAAAGTTGTCATAGGTCTTGTAGGTGTTGATGACGTATGCCCCAACATAGCTGAGGCCTGCACCTGCCGCCTGAAATGMAATACGGAAAGCAATTAGCAGTTATTTATTAAGCCTCTGACCTGGAAACTAATCATGGATTGTTTTCTARAAGTGATTTTAGAAATAATGGCTACGCTGTGCAAGGAATTAGAAGAAAAAAAATGCTGCATCTGAAACCATTAACTAAACTAGCTATGCATTCAAACTTGAACACAGAGAAGACAAAATTCATTKTATCACTCCCCTGCTAGTAAGGCACCACTTGAGCTGAGTTTAAAGYCTGGAGGCTGTAGATGTGCATCAGTGTCTGCAGAATGCCAAGCTCCCACTGCCTAGCCAGGGTCACCCACATCCCACACAAGACTGCATCTGCAGGAATCATATCATCAGAGGGATGAGTTGTTGGCTTGGGAGTGAGTACCTAGTCTCAGCAAAACAGAGTACCTCCCCTTCCAGGAGGAAACAGATTTCTGTAACCTTTAAAATAATCTCTCTCCCACAAGGATGTTTTTCCAATTGAGGCCAACGTACAATGCACCAGTGACAGTTGCCCTGGAGACCAAAAACTTTTATCCACAGGACTGAGTAAAGCCCTGCAAACAACACCGACAGACTCAGCCATGCCCTACCAAACCTCACCGATGGCATAAAAAMAACTGTCTCAAGAGTCAGGATGGCTCATCCACCCTCTAATCTTGCAGCACAAGTAAAATGAAGCACCCTCTCTATTCACATTCTGGAAACTTGAGGGAAACCAGCCGGTTTGTTTTCAACAGGTCACAGCAGGATTTCATCATGCAGCCCTGGAGCAGTTTGTTACTTGCCCAGCACACTACGTTTTAATTAAATCAAACGCTCCTCATGTTGGAGCTAGGATTTGCTAATTCYTTTACCTTGTTTGGCTCTTTCCCCTCCAGCCAGGTCTGCTGCCTGYCCTTCAATTACCTCCAAGTGCAACAACATCCTTTGTTTCAGACAGCTCCCATYCCATAATTTCGCATTCCTGGGTGCTGTCTGTACTTCAGAATAACTGGGGTCAGATGCACCAAGTGATGAAGCCAGAGACATTTAGCACATGCCATGCTGCGTGCTGGGGCTCATCAGATACATCAGGTCCTCYAACAAGTGGGTTATCAGGAAAAGGAATAGGATCACCAATTCTCAACAGGCTTTTGGTTTTCTTCTCCACATGCACTGGGTTTTCAGACAGTGCTAATGATTAAAGTGGTTCCTAAAGCTTCCTTTCATTTTTCCTCTCATTGAGGAAAATCTCTTTCCCATTTCCCTGTCTGCAGGTATACAGTCACCTTGGCTTCTTCATCCCACCTCTTTTTAGGGATGCAGAGAAAGGATGAGACCACTTTATCTCACTGCCTTCACACTTCACCAGAGGAGTGAGCTGTTGAGGAGGGGCAACCAGACCTTCTCCTCCAAGACTGGGTGCCTGAACTGGACGTGGGACAGGAAAAGCCCCTGGAATGGCAGCAGCACTAAAGGTGAAGGTGGGGACACATCACCTTCRTCCTCCTTTGCCTTCAATTGCACAAAAAGAATGAAGGTGTATGACTCAAAAAGGAGGTCCTGTGTTTCTGACCTGGAAGGATGGATGCATGTGGCTGTCTGCCTGTTCTCTGTTCTGGAACAGCATCATCTGGGCAAGGACAGTCACAGAGAGGCAAGCAAAGCTGTTCAAGGCCTCACCAYCCTCACAAAGAACAWTTTTGTCCCAATATCCCATCTAATCCTACCCTCYRGCMATGGGAAGCCATTCTCCCTTCTCCTGTCACCCTAGTCTCTAGTCCAAAGTCTCTCTCCAACACGGTAGAGAAACATACTTAATTTTTCATCTATAAGTCCTGATTTCTACCCATTTCCTGCATGCTCAACATGCAGTGCAAAGGAAGCAGCACAGGAAATGCTAAAGACCAGCTAAGAAAAACCTTGATGCAAGTAAAATGCAGCCGTAAATTTAAAAAAAAAATTACGATGCCAATTCACACAAGTCCCCTAAAGCCCGGACCAGCAAAGTCCAGAACAGCCAGATGACATCAGAGGGTCTGGTGTTCAGTTCAAGGACATAAAATATAAAGCACTTTCACAGCAGGCGTTATTGCAACACTCAGGATTGCCTCGTTTCTGGTCAGAGACAAAACACAACCAGCAAGAAGTCTATTAAAATTTCTGAACTTCTGCTTCCAAGCAGAAAACGGAAGTGTAACAAGGCAAAAATAGAAGTCTTTAGGAAAAGATCTGGCTTAAAGGAAGATGACATTTTTCCCCACAAACAGATACTGCCACAACTTCACCCATGGTTTTTAATTCAATGGGAAGAATCCTGAAGCTTGAAGAGCAGAAGCACTCAGGAATAGAARGCATCGTGGCTAGGAATTGCCTCCCTGATTTATTTTTGCAGATGAGTCCCACAGAAAAATTTTGAAAGCAAAGATGAAAATATTTCAGAACTTAAATCAGAACTCCTCTCTTAAGCCTTTCCAGAATTTAAGGCAAATTCAAAGTCTGGTGGAGGAATTTTTTCACCCCAAGATTACAAAATCTACAGTCCATTCCAAGATCAAAGATGAAGATGTACTAAGGTATACCTCCCTAAAAATACAAGACCTTTGCACTGCAAAAGACAGATCTTGAAGAATGTCTGATTAAASAGGCTTCTGTTGGATCTCAAGGAAAAAACAATCTCACAAACACAAATGCCAGTTTGAATGACTACTTTTGAGGAGGAATAAATCAAACATCTTCTTCATTAGTCAAACACCTTCTCAAAGCCATCTAAAATCATATACAAGGGTGTTAGGATTATGCCAAGAAATTCACACAGGAAATTATTATGGTTCTTCACACTTTCTGTTGGTCTCTTGCTTGGAAATTTACTTTCAGCCAAGTCCAGTGCCCAGTAGGCTCGTGCTGTGGAGGGATGAGGGCAGATCAGTACAGCCRAGGAGTGATGCAAGGTGGATACGGGACAAAGACCTTCCCTTCCACCAACAGCAAGCACAACACCCRTGCCTGACCCCATCCTCTCCAAGCAGCCCCAGCTGACTCACCAGGGCTCCAGGAAACTGCTGGTGTTTCTTTACAATGTTGACAACTTCCTTAAGACAAGATGACAAGATGAAGCAAAAGGAAATTTTGCAAGAAAACCCCTTTTCAAAGCTGGGCAACAGAACTGCAGCCGCCTCAGCTGCTTCACCTACCACAGCTTAGACCCTTCAGGGACCTAAGGCCAGAATCACTCACTTTTTCATATCTCATGCCCTTGACAGAAAGCAGAGAAAACTATTTGAGCATGAAAAATGAACTCCCTGGGGCTGAGTGAGAAGAAAGCCAAGCTGTGACAGTCATTAGATTTTCTCACGCTGAGGTTTGGGCAGGGCCTGGGCTCACCAAGCTCTTCCAAGCTTAGCTGAGCCAGGGAAGCAGGTGCACRCAGTACATACACAACAAGCTGGGACTTCCTAAGTCACACAGCGCACATGCAGCAAMCTGAATATTAAATCCAGCCCATGAAATAGATGCTGTGGCTGTCTCACTGCAGAATAGGACAGCCGCTGGAAAGCCCTAATTTCACTTTGTGTTCCACTGAGCTTATATGCTGATGACCATACGCCCCTGCCCTTTTAGAGATGCTGATAGCCATGCAAATAGTTGACACCACCTAACCAGTGTCACAGCCACAGAAGGGATTATTTAAAATTTCCTCTACTCCATTACTGCGAAATAGATGCAAATTTTATATATTTTTAATTCTTTTTTTTCTAGTGGGGCAGAACAGATGCTTTTCCACCTTTACTTCTCTGTTTTCAGAAGCCAACTTTATGTGATGGCTGAGAACAGTTTGCAGTTATCAGCACAGGCTACTGTGTCCCCTGCCAAACCCTGATAAGATACAGCAAAAGAGCCAAACTACTAACTATGGAGTTAAAAGGCAGTGTCTGCTGGTYGGAGGTTTTGGGGTTCTTTTTTAAAGGTTGCTCCCAGCATCCCCCAATTTCAGTGTACAGATTCTATGACTCGGTCTGTTACTGTAAACTGGTGTAAGTCTTTCCTTTTAAAAGGCTGGACAATTAAAAATACAGAGTAACAAAGCTGCAGTGTTAAATGGAGAAGCTTAAGAACAGGGTGATTTCCGAATTCCCAACATCCCAAGTGTCCAGCAAGACACAACCTCTATACAGTAAAAAGGTGAGGCTATGAGACTTAAAGACATTTCCTCTTTGTCAAATGGGACTTTCCCAGGGCCAGCACTAATTTCCACCACAGCACAAAATTAAGGCTGGCTGGRCTTTGTCCCATATCATTAACATTTTACAGGCAAAGACAGGTAAGATAAATAATAGCATTTTACCTGACATGGTTAAGAGCAGCTGAATTCTGCAGCAAACCACTGCAACTATATATTGGAAGAAYTATGAATATCCACACAAACCCTTTCTTAACCACTGCCACCTAATTMGTCACTGGACAGTCAGCTCACAGAGCTGCTTGAGTTAATTTTAAGGCTCAAATCCCACTTTTTTTTTTCATTCCTATCTTTGCGTAGTCAGGGCACCTCACCCAGTACAACATCTGATGCTGAGATTTTGCCACCCATCCTATATTCACTGGGATGCTATTACCTTTCCAGCAGTTTCAATCTGCCAGAGGACAGAGTGGGATATGTTACCTTCAGTTATTACTTTACCAATTACAGTGATTACTAGTGTGCTGGCCCCATGCCTTTCATATTTAAAATTAAAGCCCAGCAACACTGGTCTCAGTTACAGCTGCCCCTCCTCTTTTTAACACAGAATGTACTCCATCTCTTTGTTAGTTTGGATTTTTTTTTCTGTGTACAAGAAGTGGTTTTGATTTACCTTGACAGGTAAATCCTCCGCTTGAAAGGTTTTGCACATTTCYTCCATAAATAATATATTTTATTACCCAACAGCCAGCTTGCATGGSAATGGGAATCACTTTCTGGCTCCCTTGCTGATTTATCGTACTACAAGATTTATTCTTCCCATTCACTACCA